TTTACCACCCAAATCTATCTCATCTCACCTATCTTCAGTCCTTCGGATCAACACGACCCGAGCCAGGAAGGTCCATGCGACCGAGACGGCCGACGGGTCTGGGGTGCCCTGGGACTACCCAGCCCACGACATGGATCTCCAGCCAAGACACCCCGACAGGATGGTTCAGGTATGTTACATCTGCAATCATTTTTTGGAGGCACCAGACGGCACAAGCACATCATGTGCCAGACTGTCGATTCATGATGGTCCCTTGGCTTGATGGTCCAATCCCTTCGCATCGGATGGCTTCTTACTCATGGCATCGAGGAAAATCCGCGGAGGTTGCTGACCTCCTCAGGTTCGGTGGGACAGGGGTGGGTGGGGAGGGGTCGAATACCACCGAACCTGAGGATATGGGCCAGTGCCAGGAGTCCTAGGCAGTATACATTACATTGGATCTATCAGAATCTATCAGGTCAGATCTATCATGGTCTATCCATGTCTATCTATCCCACTAGTGAATAATGATGGTTAGGTTGCAGAGTTGCAGGCCTTTCTCTAAAATAAGCGGTGTTCTTGTTTGCCGAGTGTTAGGTAATAGGACAGACCCTAAGTACACTCCCTGGAATCCTCCAAAGGTGCCCAAGAACCGTTTCATTCTCACATGTCCAAGCGTTCTTGACCCTTCTCTTCATCTATCTTCCTCCGGCCGACCGAGGGAAAACACACACACCGTCACGCGCGTCTCGTCTCGTCTCCGCGTCGCCTCATCGATCTGCGAGACCTTCTTCTTCATCTCCCTGCAGCGGCGTGGAACCGCGGCAGGGCGCGGCAGGGCGCAGCGCAGTTCCGCGGTTCATCAAGGTACCCGAAAGATGCCCCGACGCAAACACCGGCGATCGTGGAACCGGGCGGAGTGTTGATCGGGAAGAAACCGCGGCAAGAATTTGGGGGTCACCAAAATGGTTTCGGCCTCACCAGTTTCGGTTGGAGTTGCCATCTTCTGACTCGGCTGCGGAGGTGTGTTTCGTTGTGTGGTGGACGTCCAGCTGCGGAACTTCAGACGTGAAGTGGGTGATCGGTGGTCCATCCGGAAGTGATGGTCAGAATGGTCCGGTTCCGTCGGGGCAATGCTTGCTGTTTCTGTACTGATAAGGCAAACAGGAAATGGGTGTGTGTGTGTGTGTTTGGTCCGAATCTATGCCATGCGTGCACGGACAATTAGGTCTGGAGCATGGTACTTTCTGAAAGCTGAGACGGTTGTTTTAGAGGAGGATACCACTGCCTTCTCAGAATTCGATGTCGGTCTGCGTAGCGGCAGACCGAACAACCCATCACCGTACAGGGGTCACAGTTGAGAACGTCGACGGCACACCCAGAAAAGGACTCACACTCCAAAGGAAGGACCTCTCGAAAAAATTAACCAAATTGTGATAAAGGATAAAGTGATACACAGTGTTTCATAAGCGTTCATAAGCATGCTCTACTCTACACCCCACACATCTTCACTCTCTTCCACGTCGAAACACGCGACGCCATGCGCCTCAGCTGCCACTCATGTTGTGCTGATGGGCCATGCTGCAACTCCTGGTGGACTCATGGAAAACATCCTTGATCACTACTACGGGTACACAGACTGTCCCTAAACCCTCAAACCTCATGGTGGTTGGCACCGTCCAGGTCATATATGTGGTCATACTAGTTCCTTGGGGGAAAAAAAAGGGACACATCCAAATCATCCGAAGCCTCTTTTGTTTGTGTCATTCTCAACCCCTGAGACCAACATAGAACTTGAAGAACAACTTGATGCCTGAAGGACGAATTTCCTTCTCTTCTTTCACGTTCTGTATCGTTCTGTGTGCGGTCTGTGTACCGAAAGAAGTATGATCCTTGGACTGGGCGAGTTCGCCGCAAATCCAGACCACCACTAGTCAAACAGGCGTCACCTTAAGAAAGGAACCTCTTGCTGATTCTCGGTTTATCAACATCCAAAGCCTAGCGAGGCGACCATCGTTAAGCTGAATCTTTTCCAGCAACAGTACCCAGACCATCCATGGGACTGGAACATTTATCTACATTGACTCTTACAACATCTTACAACATCTTAACATCACCGATTGTAGGCAAATGTTCCATGATTACTTGGAATGGATTGCTAGGATCGCTGTCAATTTGTCACCGGATGTGTAAAATGAAGCCATTCACACTGGATGAGAATGAGAGTTCAAGCAAGCGCAAGTGACATTGCAACATGGGAGGTCTTGGCCTTTTTGATCAAACACTGCTCGCACAAAGCTTCGAGTTTCTGATTTCTTAGGCAAAGTTTGCAACCAGCAACCCCTTCTTGCTGAATTCTCTGCCCAAGCACAAAAACTGAGCCCGCGAGGGCAAGCAGCTGCGATGCTGACCAGTCGGCGTGCAAACTTTCCACCGACTTGGGCCCATAAGATTCGGGAATTTGATTTTGGGATTCTCCCACCTTCTACCTACCGGGATACCGTGCCCTAGTTAACATATAACTCAACAATACTGAACGAATCCTTCCTGACCATTTTCCAAGCCTTCACATCGCAGCCCAAACCGCCATCCATCCCATCGGTGCTGATGAACAGGATGGCACAAGAATTAAGGAAGGTCGATCGAATTGCAGCAAACGAACAGTCCTGGACAGAAAACCCTCAATTTGCACCAGAAAAAATGCACTAAAGTATCCTCCAGCGCTTCGACACGGGAGTCATTTGCCTGGCATTTTATAGAGTCAAAATGAGTCAAATGATCGTCATGTTATAGACCAAGCACGGAAGATCACGAAGGCCTGGACCTTTGGAGGAAAAGCTCAAGAAAGATCTGGGACTCTACAACATGTGATCATCGCTCGGCCACCGGCCACCCTCCTTCACTTTTTCATACTTGGCAAGCCTTTGAATTCCCATTTGGGCAGAACAATTGCCTGTTCAAAAGGAGGGCGGCGACCCGCCATCTGTTTGCTCAGTCCATGCCATTGTCCGCCCTCTGGGGATAGCAATCCGTGTGGCTCGAACCGCACGGATTGCTTCGATCGCTCGGCCACCTGGAGATCCGGAAAGTCAGCTGGGAAAGCTTCCCACCTTGCCAGGTGCAAAGGCATATACTGGGGGGAGCAAGGCATATATTGGGTGCGGAGGGGAGAGCTTCCAAATAGAAGCTCCGAATCTCCAGACTTCTTGAAGGTACTGTACTTGCGTGCCGTGCGCGTGTTTCCAGAGCTGAACATCGCAAACACCGAGGCGTTCTGGGGCACATCATCATGGATTCTGCGTCGATCGACCATCCTTCGTTTCGGCAAAGCGGTCGTCCTCTGCCCGTTCGGACTAGCCGCATGGAGCACCTGCGCATGGAGCACCAGCTGCTCGATGACGCCGCCCCCTCCCTGTTCACGACCAGGTCTCTGTGCCGTATGTTGGCCCATTTACTAGGTGCTGGGCGTTGGCTTCTGGAGTTGGGGCTAGGCTAGCTGCATTTGTTGGCCCTTTTGGGCAGCCGAAGCTGCTTGGATGGCATGGCTTCTTGAATGAACATGTTCCTCGACAAACAGGTGGTGAACTCCTGAACTCCACTTCCATGATGATTTCAGGGAGTCTACCCACTCTGGGGCGCCGCATGGCGGCTCGAACGGGCCCAGACAAAGAACATCCTTCGTCGGAGCGGACTGCTGGGATCACAGCAAGGGAACGAGCCAATAGCATGAAATGTAGGCAGTTGCTGGACTTAAAAGACAGAAGAACCGCCTAAAAACATCATGAGTTCATGGTCATGTCGAAAAGAGAAAACCTGAAGACATCTGGGAGATTCCGATGGAAGACTGACAAGGTGCGGGATTGGATCAACAAACACATCCTTGAAAGATTGCGGATCTGTCTGGGCATTCTTGGAGGACTTGTTCACGCACCCACCCCCTTTTCCACTCCCCCCAAAATGGCACTTCCACTGGAATTCCAGGTGTCCTTGCCTGGAAGACCATCGCCCCAAACCCCCCAAATTCCGGAGGCCCAGACCTCAGCTTTTGGGGTTCACCCTCTTCGGATTTCTTCGTAACCCGAAGGCGCCGAAGTGGACACGAACACCACCGAAGACCAGAGATGGTGCATGCTGGGATTCGCTGACGTTGACATACACTATACAACTATATAGCCCGCTATGGGTCAAGCTTCAGGCCGACTGTCTTAGTCTTAATCAGTTTTCCATTGCAATCCCAGAAAGTTGGTCTGGTGCACGAAAACCACTTGCTATGCGCCAGCAGGCGGGGCTACTGCTGAGCCCGAGTCAACAAAAGCCTGAAAAGAGCAGTGCAGTGTGCACGTGTGCGCACGTTTGCATCCACAACCTGGTATAATTCCACCGGGAGTTGTTCAAGCGCCACTGGAGACTGGATGCTGTTCTTTCTCTGTTCTCCGTGGCTTAAGATGTTAAAGTCAATGAGCCAGTCAAGGACCGTTAAAACATGTTTCTTCCACGCGTCGTCAGCCAAAAAACACCGTTGAAACCGGAGACGTCTGTGACGACTGGTGTTCTCCTGCGCTTGCGCTCGGACCGGACCGGATAGCCAGGCGTGTGCACAACAGGGAGCAGAACCAGACGGGTGAATGGATCCGAAACCTTGTTACTAGTAGCTTCTTGTTCCTAGTAGTAAGGCCAGGAGCCCCTAGTAGCAGCCTTGCTCCTAGCAGTACGGCCAGGAGCCCCTAGTAGCTTCTTGTTCCTATAGTAGTAATGCCAGGAGCTACGTTCGTAGCGTCCGATCGCTCCCAAGATTCCAACCTCCGGTTTTGGTCAAAGGAAGATGCAGTCTTCCAACGGGAGAAACCTGAAATCAGCCAGGTAATCAATTTCAAGGAAAAGAACCCGCGTGCGACACAAAAACGGGAAACCCGAATATAAACCCTAAAGCACCAGAGGGCCCTCATGATGTTCTTGGGGGACTTGGGGGACCTACTTGTAGATCGAGACAATCATACAGGATAACCATATTGATAAGTATCGCAGCATATTACATGCATGGTTCATTGATTCTGCGCCCTTTCGATATGGAGAAATCGGATTCACACAGCACTGTCTGAATCAGAAGTGCCAAAAGACAAAATTCAAATTTTAAAAGCCAGGGTAGGCCTGGCCAGAAAGTTGAAGGGGCTACAGATCGAAGGTCACAGGCTTTTGCCTCTAAAAGACCTTCAAACCGTCCTAAACTAACATGGCTCATCTTCCAACCCGCAAAAAGCCATTTGTTCACCGCTTTCTCGTTTTTTGAGGCCACGTCCTCTTGGCGCAAAAATGATCAGGGGGGCAGTCTGTCATGGGTGACCAATCGCAGATCTGCCGATCTGCGGATCTGCAGCTCAAAGCTCCTTGGTCCGGGTGTTCACCAGTTGATGGAACTCCCGCATGCTCACCACCTTGACCTGTTCACGCCGTCTGAACCGGGCGCCGATGTGAGTGGTGAATGTTCATCCCAGACCTACGGTAAGGTTGACACATGAAGCACAAGATTTCTCAGAAAGATCGTGTCTTCTGAGGATTTCTCAGTAACGGAGTGCTTCTCTCATAATATTAAGACTAATGCCAATCGATGAACAAAGTGCAGCATGTATGACAAAACTTGGACATCCAAACCATCCAAAGGGTCACCAACGGACTAGTCCCATGACTTATCGGCTTTCAACTTGATTCAACTTGTATTCCAAATATGTCCGAATTCCCCGTTCTCCTGGGTCAGTTTTGCCAGCCTGTTCCTCAACAGCAAAAGATGAGTTTGTCAACAAACCCGTAAGCCTTGTTTGGGAAAAGAGTCGCATGAAGGAAGACAAGTCGCATGGAGAGTTGCAAGAAACGACGAAGCGGATTCGGTCCGTACCGTACGTACCAAAAATGTTCCATCGGGTCTATTTGCTTCTTTCTTCCCATCCTCGAAAGTTTTTCATCGAATCTGTCATTCTTCGAGGTGTCTCATATATGAACCCATGGAAAAGAACATCATGACAACACCACCAAACTCCAGTAGACTTGTCTGCGCCACAACCTTGCACCCCATTGTCCATCTGTTTTTCCAGCTGTTTTCAACCCGACCTCTTCCTGTAGAAGTTCGATGACCTGTTGGTGAGACCTCCCATGACTTGCAGCTCGGGCAATGTCCAACGGCAGCAAACCGGAAGCATCCGTCCTCACTGCCGGGACGACCCACTTCCAAAGATCGGGCGAATCATGAATGAGACCAGGCACCGCAGAGCGGCCGTTTTGGTGGGATCCGGCTATAGAAGCAAAAAAACACGAGCTTTCACCTGCATCAACTCAAGAGCTTTGATGTTGTTTCGTCGATTGCAACCGGCACTATGGTTGTGTTGTTGATTCTTTCGTTGTTTGATCTTGAGAAACTCCAGCCAGTGCCTACTTTTGCATAATGCTCAAGCATCATGTTGCCATATGTTGCCTGAGACTACACGCACTGTCAGGTTGGGCAAATTGGTGTGACACTCAGAGGCATGGAGCTGGTTCAAGCCAATGACATATCCTGAGCCATACAAAAATCCTAAGTTGGTTTAAGTACTATATAGCCATATTTTGCACTATATACCCTGGGAGTCAAAGACCATTAAAACAATGGTTGACCTGGTTTTTGTATTCTAAAATCCTTAGTTGATTAGGTAAAGCCTATTAAATTAATGGTTGTTGGAAGCCTAGGGTATAGTTATCAATATCAAGAGCCGTATCAGCTGACATCAGCTGACGATTTCTCCCCTTTCCAAATGTCTGAATTTCGTATTCGGAGGTCTGTGGATGATGATAGCTCTTGATTTGATCTTTACCAGTTTTGACACCTGTGGATTGGATTGTTGAGATGTTTTCAGCGCACCAGCTTCACATCCCTTCAAATCCAAGCTTCTGTTGCGCATCTACACCAAGTAAGAGTAAATCACGAAGAACCTCACAATCTCCCAATCTGGCGGCCACGTGCACCGGGTAGTACTTCTTGCGGCCAAAGATTGAAGAATCGCTTCTGGGAGTAAAGGCATTCTTGAACTGGAACTCGTTCCTCAGGCTCAAAGTTTCGATGGCCGAAACCGACGGGTGGTTCCCGACGTACGAGTAGCGACTGGAGCAAGTAGCGAGAACACCACCCTCACATCCCGACACAAATAGGAACCAAATGGTAGTTTCCCCAGTGCCAACCCCTTGTCAATGTAACGGAAAGCCATATGATTGGATCATATTCGGTTCCAACCAGTGTTTCTGGTTGGGACTGGGTTTCCGGGGCTATACCAATAGGTCCAGTTCGTGGGCGTCAGGGATATGACTTGATCGACTCACTCACAGTTAAAGAAACGTTTGGGCATATTCCACCAGTAACAGTGGATGATGATGGTTCAGTTGCAGGCCGGTCTCCAAAATAGTGAACATATTCGTCCGACCATTGCTGATGATGGGATACACCCAGACAGCAATACGGGCCGCAGAACAAGACAGCAAAGCGAGGTTTACAGTGGAGGTTTACCGTGGCTACAACTATAGGGTATCTGCGATCACTGCGATCACCAAACACTTGGCCCAGACTCAAAAAGTTCTGAAGGTGCTCCTGACGCATCTGCTTCACCACAGCTCTCTTCCTCTTGGCCCTTGCCAGAAGGGAAGGTCTTTTGCCTCACATGGCACTTCAAGAAAATCCTTTGTCTTACATGGCACCCGGTCAATGGCACCCCGAAAATGCACTGCGAAAACCACGTATATGTGGAGTCAGAGACATGTCAGCCGAGTTAATCTTGGAGGTTCAAGTTGCGAGCCACACCCATTTCATCCCATGCCCTTTCGCATCCTTTTGCCCTCCGATGAAAAACAAGTTGGACAGCTGTTCCATCACGGATTGACCTTTCTTCTTTTCATTTGCTTATCAAGGTCATGACTCTTGATTCAATACTAAAAAATAAAGAAAGACATCTAAATGGTGGGGATTTTATTTGTCTAGAGTCTACACGATCAACCGATGCTCTGAGAACATGAGCGCTACATGTGGTCCCGAAATCAGAAACAATCGATATTGAATGGTTTTGAGCCCCTATCAGTGGCAGGAATAGCATTCTTAGGTTTATTGCCACGTGCAGAACTTCTTCAAGCCCTTAAGGCTTGGATGTCTTTGGCCAAAGAGGATGGATCCAGTCCAGTGAGCCGGATCAGTCCGGTGTAGGTCACCCGGTCGGTCCACAGCCAACATGAAGCCACAGCTACACGACATCCTGTCCACATCGAATGGATCCTCGGGCACCGACTCGTCCACGTCCTCCAGACAGTCTGGCTTCGTCGGCGGTCTGAGGTTGCTGATGGCGAACATGGCCGGAACGTGTCCCTGTCTTCGGCCTGAACTTTTCAAGCCTAAAAACTGCGTGAAAGGGCCAACGATGATTTTGTGGCGTGAGAGTCCAAGAAACTCTGCGAACACCTCCAGTTCATCCTTCCGGTGTTTCAAAGAAAAAGACCCCTTGTACCATGAGGCGGGCTTCGCAAGGAAGTAACACCTGCTTGCAAACCTCGCACCGTTCGTGCGTTCGTGCGCCTGGCGCAAAGCAACCAGTGTTCTGTTCACCAGCACGCGCTCCCCAGCACGCGCTCCCCAGCACGTGCTCCCATCCAATTCGGGAAAGACTTCAGGGTGTGTCTCTTACTCACCCAGTTCAAGCATGGGCTGAAAGTTGATTTATAAAGGCAAGTTCACATCACCTTATGTTGATTTTTATGTTTTCGGGTGAACTACTGCTTCATGACCACCAGTTTGTCGTCAAATCTCCACGGACATGGACGTACATTGAGAGATCATGTGAGCATGGCTCAAAAATCGAATGCCTCCCTCCTACACCCTTGGTAAATGGAAAACCACACTCAAATCTACAGGTCGCTGAGTCGCTCAGACTGAATCTGTGGAGCTTCAGCATGTCACCGTCGCCGTAGCTCTTGAAAATTGACTGTGAGCATGGACTCTCCTCTAGAAACCAATCCGTTACCTGTTTGGTCCTTCATAATAAGGGTTGTAAAAAAAATATGCAAACCTGTTCCCTCACTTTCGCACCCGGTGGGTGTTCCACCTTGTGTCACCCATCTTCTGCTTGCCAAACCCAAACTATATGTGCGCTTACATCGACCCCTTTTCAACCACCTCTAATTGATGTTCTAAGTTAAAACAGTTTATAGTTGATTAAACACAATATATGTATATAATATATATATATGATTATATATATATGATTATATATGATCATATGACCATCAAACAAGTATGTCCGTCCCAGACAGGTCCTCTCGTGTGCCGTCTCGTCCGAACGCCTCGTCCGAACGTACGGTCGACCTGTCTGCCGTCGCCCTGATCTCCTCTTCCAGCATCTTCACGGTCTCCGCCATGTGGCTCCGGGTCCTGGCGCGGATGGGTCAAGACGCCGGTCGGGTCGTGGAATCGACATGGACATGACGCCGGTCGGGTCGTGGGTTGGCATTAAAGATTCTGTTGAAGTGATGGCAGATGATTAAAGAAACATACTTTTTTTCAGACATCGCTCGTCAAACAACAAGGTTTTATATATATATATATATATTTAAACATATATATATATTATGTCATTATGTCTTTATTTATTTATCCCTTATCGTGATTGCTGTGCCAAGTCTGATCTGCTCTCCAAAGTCGTTTCGGACGATGTCAAACACTGCACCCAACGCTCTCTGTGTGAGTTCGAACGACCAGATGTTCCGGACAAAGTCACCCACAGTCGGGCGCACGTAGGGGAGTTAGGTTGGAGGGTCCTGATAGACTTCTGGTAGACCCAGGACATGTCCCAATCACCTTCGGGATCCCAACCAGCTTTGCCCTCCTCCTTGATGGTGAGCGAAGCTGTCACTTTCATGTCATGATTGTTGCATCAACCAAACTCTCTGAATTCTGAATGACCCCTGGAGAAAGTATAGAGAAGAAGAAAAAGGCAGATTCTGGCATCAAACTGGCATCATGACTTACCGAGACAGTAGACCACCCCAGGTGTTGGTTGGTCAAAGCATCTCGCTCTCACACCGCAGGATTTCTCCCTCTTTGTAGTAACAAGTGCCACGCTACTAGTAACAAGTGCCTTACTAGTAGTAACAAAAAGCTAGTAGAAACAAGTGCCACGCTAGTAGTAACAGGTGCCTTACTAGTAGTA